AACTGATTTTATATTCGTCATTATCTGGACTATTGAATATTCAGAAGGAGTGTAATTAGAATCACAGTCTGAATTGTCGCTAAATGGTTCTTCCTCTGATTCGCTCAAAGTATTTATAATTGTTTCTTGGTGTCGATCCAATTTCTGATTGAGTTTTACACAACTACCACTTGTAGTTGCATTTTGCTAATTTACTAATTTAACAGTGCTACTCATTTTACTCAATTCTTATACAAATATTTTAAACACTATTATGGCTCCGCCGAGATAACTAAACTAAACTTTAAATTACAAATGAAATTACTCACCAGATGAACTCAACTGGAAATCCAACAATGAAAAATTTGTATGCGTTACCAGTCGAATACAACTGGTGCTAAATTATCCCTCTATTAGATAGATCTCTTTCAGACAATAATATAGGTACCTATAATGTTAGTTTTTACCAACATGTTTCACCAGATGGAAATACTATTTATTTTTAGCCGTAATTTCTGCAAACGTACTTACCAGTCTTTTTCAACTGGTAACGCAGCGAAGGTGTTAATCATAAAACACTTTTCATACACAGATAAAGCAGATATACCTATTTAATCCATCAATGAACTATTTTGAAAGTTATACTTACTCATATAACTCTTTAGCAGTAAGGTTACTCTTTATGCCTCTTTCATTTAAAACTGGGCCACATAAAATGTTAATGTTTTCATTATCAACTAGGTTAGCAACAAATTGTAAATTGTATGTGCTTCTTGGTGATTCTACGGTATTATGTTTAATAAAGCTTTCGGCTATTTGTTTTAGAATCATCATTCTTAAAGTAGTCAAATTTACTATATCCCTATCCTCAATGTTTACAGAAACCAGAACATTAAAGTTATTTGACATAATGGGACATGAACCATATTGAGAGTCTTGCATTAAAACGGTTTTTATCACTGATTTATAAAGTTCTGGAGTTCTTTTTAAATGTATGTGAGCATCAGCATTTTTAAAAACAATTTTCTTTATTTGAATTGGCCAACTGGAGCTTTCTTGTAACAACTGCTCTATAACAAATTCTCTAGTCGTTTCTGAACTTCCAAATTTAAATATATTCAAACTTTTAACTGATTCTTCATTATTTACATCAATGAATTGATACCAATTATTAGCATTTGTAGGAAAACTTAAATCACCCAATTCATTCAGTTTTTTTGTATGAGTTCTAATGATATTCTGACTATGTTCATATTGTTGCTCGACTAGAAAATCTAGTAAATTTTGGATAAAATCTGTTAAAACTTTCATATTTACAGAAAATACACAATTATAATTTTATTATTCCAAACTACAATTCATATTTCTCAATTTGACCCAGTGACCAAAACAAATGGTACCTACTAACCTAACAATTTCTCACTTCTTCTCTTTGGGCTGTATCCATAACAATTTACTCAGTATATGTGGTTCACAGACCACTAATGGTGATCTGGGATGTGGTGTAGTTTACACCATGATATAAGGAAACAAGGTATGCTCATAGATAAAATTACACCTAGATTGGTAACAGGGATAGGCAATGTCAAATCACGTTCGGAGTTAGGCGCCCATACGCCCATTCGTATGGTGGCGCTGCTAGTCTATTTTCTACGCGGAGGGAGTGTGCTGTGGCACGCTGTGGTCAAATCAAAAGTTGAATTTATTTAGACAAATACGGCGCCATATTTGTATTTGTTTTATTTTTATAATTTATTTTATAGTTTAAATTTTTTTATATAAGTAGTGCAAAAAGGTAAAATTTTAGACGATTTTTTATTATGGAATCGAACACATTACATGACATGGAATAACAATGTAGAGACGAAGAACTGAACAAAAAAGATGTATTCCAAATTGCATGGATACTAGGCAAGCACTAGATATGTTTGATAAATGGGTGAATGCTGTTAAAAGCCCTAATTAGAGAATGCTGCAACAGAAACTATTTATAACAATTTTCGTGTATGCGCTAGTCATTTTAAAGAGGATGATATAATTAATGTTGGACACACCGCTATTACGAGAACAGCCCTTCTGAGTTTGTTTTTACCAGCACCAGGTAAGAACTATTATGCCAATATATGTATGTATGTGACCTTTTACTTATAAAATTGGTTAATTATAAATTTAACCTAAAATTATATATTATAAAATCAGTCTTACTTGCTTACTATTTGAATTATTTTGTAGGTGGTGGTTCAACAACTATCTTAACAATCATCACCTTAGAGAGGGTTCGACATAATTTCTACAGGTGTGCGCCTTTCAAAGTTGGATTAGATTAGCAGATCATGACTACACTATCATATGAAGAGGTCTATGAGCTTGCCTGTTAAGTGCGAGGAGGAATCTGTCTCTCTCTTGTAAGTGAGATTGGTCTTAGAGTACCATATTACCATGGTTTGTCTCATCTATGTACTTACTTTTAATGTTCCATTTTGTAGAACAACCTAAATCTAAATGTATTTAATATGTCTCTCAATAATTATATAAATATTAGTAGAAAAGAGTTACTGGTAACATAGAGTTTGGAAACATAACTTTGTAAAATACTTCATGTTTTTATTGTAACTAGGTAATACTTTACATATTTTTTTATTTTTAATGTTATTTTTCCATCTTTATACTGCTGGATCTTAGAATCGTAGAGCTAACTGTTGGGTTTATAGGTTTTAATATGACTAAAATATTATCATATAAATGTATATAAAGTTCTTTCTAGAACTAAATCATTTAATTTTTCTGTTTCCAACTTAGTAGAGATCTTGAGTTCTGTCTTTTCTGGGAGTAGAATGCCAGACAGTAAGAGTTCCTACTGGCCGCTGGTAGTGTGTGTTATTAAATTAGGATGTAAGTACTACAAAGAACTCAGAATGTCTGACGGCTATATGTTGCTTATTAGGCTTTAATTTGACATTAGAATTCCAAAAGAATTATTTAATTACTGACAAGTTCTTGTCACAACATTAAGAACACTAAATTATACTACATTCACCCGTCCCTATTTGTGAACAAAATATTGCAACTATCTTGGTTTATTTTTAGCTCCAGTGTTGTTCTACTTGAAATATTCCTTTAGAGTGTAGATACTTAATAAATTCTTGTGAAGTAAAGCTAGTTCTCCTTGTCAGATTTTATATATACCAGCATTCTATATAAACAAAATAGTGATTTAATCTGTGATTGGTTTGAATTGCTTTCCTACCAGATAATGTCTGCATTTTTTTAATACTTCAATGCATTTGCATGTTTTCATTCTGAATCTGTGAGAGTATGTGTGAAAAAAGCAATTGATTTTCCCCATTGATTGCTTCGCTTATGTAATTATAGACTAAATTTATTACAAGCATGTACTTATCTTTGTCTTCTAGGGATTTATCTTTGGATTCATTGCTTTCTAAAAAAATCTTGAATGTTATATACCAATGTTTGAATTCTTTGCGAATTATGAGAATAAAATTGTAGTAAAAGGCCTTTTGCAGAATTAGGCTTCTATTTACATAAAACTTGACATACTAAGACAAAACAATTATTTAAATACTGGCCAGTTCTTGCCACAACATTAAGACAACTAAATTATAGTACACTTGGCTTGTATTATTAATATTTCTTGTAACACATATAACATTTCTTGTAATATTTTTATAAATAAAGATTTTATTCTATATTTTATTCTTTAATTTTGTTAACCACTTTGGCATTTTAATGTAATGTAAAATAAATATAGTCTCAACATAACAAGAAAACCCAAAAAGTATACGAAAAATATTTATTATCGTATAGGATAAGGATTTTTCTTGTTATTTTAGGATTATATCGATTTTCCTTTACTTTAAAATGAGTTCACAATCCTAGGTAATATTACTAAGCTTTTGAATTTCGCGCCATATATTTATAGTTAGGCGCCCGGTCACTAGGTGATGCGCCAATCATTGTTTTACTCGTCAACACGGAAGTTTCAATGCTAGGTGGTAGTGTGCTATGGGTATGCTCACTAGGTGGACTCGTTTTTTGCACATTTCTGCGCCGACCAAAATCCACCATCTTTTCAATATGTCACATGTGTGTAGGGATGGTGACCTGATCCCGTACCAGTTACTTTGGAACATGTATTTTATTTATACTTGTGGAACTAATCCCTAACACCAATATATTATAATAAACTAGTACGGGTTTCATTGCATTTGTCCTTAATTTTTATCGTGCATTTCTCAACGTTTACAAAGCTTTAGATAAATATCAACAGATAAATATCACGCCTTCAAGGCGTGAAGTAGACAAAACTATCGCCATTTTTTTATGAACTTTTTATACAATCTCTGAATAACAGTAATTTAAGTATTTGAAGTTAAACAGTCATTTTAATAACTATAAAGAAATCTAACAAAATACAAATAATGTTGTCGTTATGTTTAGATATCTATTAAAGGAATGATAACAAACTGATTTCCAAACCAGTATTTTTTAACAGGTATATTTGTTTACGCGTATCAGTTTGACCTGATCCACAAAAATACTTGGATTAACCACCTCTACATGCTTGACGTCTGCTTTGTTTTGCATTTTTTAACCTTACTTTGCAATGTATTGGAATTTAAAAGTAAATTTGTTTCGATTTTTTTAAAATTATTTTAGCAAGAGTCTGTTCAGATCATTTTAAATCTGAAATAATTGGATTAATGTAGAATATTTATTTTATTTTATTTAATTTAACTACGATATTTTTTATCAAATTTGTACATATTTGAATTGCCGCCTTCAAAATGGCGGATTTTGGTCGTAAACGCGATTGGCTGTTCAAAATAGATGCACGTGTGACGTGAGCATACCATACCATGTTTCCTTATATCATGGTTTACACTACTTACTGGTTACACTTATTCTTTGTTTTATACGGGCCCAGTGCTCATTCAGTACATTTGAAGACCAGTGACAGGTAGAAAAAATCAAAAAATACATAAATTAACAATAACAAAACTTTAAACTTTGACACTCTAGGTTTTTTTATTGTTGAAGCATTGCCTGATGAGCCTTTAGAGCCCTACAGGAAGATGAGCTCGGAGCTGCAATCTCAGACCCATTCACCACTAATACCTTTGTAGCTGCAATACTACCAAATGCACCGCCAACAAGTAACGAAAGAAGAAGAAGTTAAAATCACTCTCTTTCACTTTCTCTTTCCTTGTCTAAGAAAAATCAAGGAGAAATCCCATCCATTCCCAATCAATAATAAATTATTTTTGATAATCAAATGGAAGTAAAACAAGAAATTAGTAATGAGATGTGTCAAGCAAAAAAATATAATGCTGATGATAATGGTTCTTCGGATATTTGTAAAATTGAAATTAAGGAGGAACAGACAAACGAAAGTACACATTCTACATTTGATTACCTTGCCTTAAAGAAAGTTTTCATAAAGACTGAAATAGAACAAGAGGAACATAATCTTACTTCATTTAAAGAAAGACAAACAAATCCAAGAGGTAAGTATAAGTAATGAAATCACAAGAGTACTAGTATATGGTTAAATTGGTTTTAAAATACAGTTAAATTACCTAGGTATTGGTATTACAGATTTGATTTCAGTAATTCCACCAAGAAAGAGTAGTTTTTGTGATATTTTTAGTTTTTTCTGTAGAAGCTCTGGCTGCATCTAAAATTATGTGGTTGAAAGAGGATAGTGTTGTAGCTTCTATATTATATGATATAATAAGATTTGGTATACATAAGCTTACTAGGTTTGAGTCTTTTTCCCAATCAGCTGACTGTAATATTCATGTTTCATATGTCATGAGTAATTATTATTGGAAAATTATCACAAAACAAATTTTATGTTATTAATTGGTTCTTATAAGATTTGTCCATTTTTATCAGTTTTTGGGGATTCCCATGCATTGCTGTGGCAGTTTGTTTTACACCAGCTCCACACATACGGGCCAATGTTGGCCCCAACAGCATTTGTCTAAAGTGTGTACTGATAAAACTGTGTTGGAGCCAATGTTTTTATCACGAAGTGTGGGTTTTTGCGTACACATCAAAGGGATTCACGCCAATATTGATGTTGCTGTTCATGCATCAACCCAAAGTGTGGATGCCTCGCCGAATGTTGACCCAATGTTGGCACCAACGTTGGATCCCATGTGTGGAGCCAGTCTTACTGTAAATTAAATGTGAGGGTGTAATTTGTTTGATTACATTTTGTAGTTCTAGAAGAGTAGTCTAGTCAGGATGTGGTACATATATATTGCATATATTGATTGCAAAATTATATAGTGTTGAAACCAGATTGTATTTAATGGAATTTCTTTGGATTATATGATTGTGTATACAATAATTCTGATATATATATATATATATATATATATATATATATATATATATATATATATATATATATATATATATTATATATATATATATATATATATATATATATATATATATATATATATATATATACTGTACTGTTTGGTTTTTTGTATAGGGCATATCATTTTTTAGTTTTACTTGATTGTTGGAAAGACGAGATTCTTATATACTCAATATTGATGGTGACAGTTCATTGAGTAGCATTTTAATGTTTTCAATGTGGCTATAAAAGCCATTCAAGTTCCGTTGAAGAACGAATTTAATTGGACTACTGAGATAAATCCTAGTCACTTTTGTCAGTGAGGCAAGATTCATATGTTGGATTTTTTCTTTTTAATCCTTGTAAAATTATTTTTCATGTGTTGATCATTTAATTGTGAGTTAACCATTTTTAATAAGGTGTATAAGCTGTCAAAATCTTTTGTATAGTTTTTGGCTTTAGCTTCAGGATGTTTTGATCCCATTGCATCTATAACAAAGTCTCATAATTGAGTGAAATTTAGCTTATATGGCGGAGATGCTGTGGATTTTAATGTGACTTTGACACCTGAAACCTCCTTCTTTTTTTGTGTGGATTCATTTAGGTTTTTAGTTTCTGAGATTTCAGGAGAGGTTAAAATTTGCCTTTTTGTGTGATTGGTTGTTTTAGTATTATTGCTGTCTGCTGTAGTTGTTGAAGTTATATTGTGTGCTGTAAGTGAATAATTTGTCTTTGGGATATCTATAAAAGTAGGGTTGGAACAGTTAATTGCATCATCTGAAATGTTTGTTGCTGAATTAATTTGATTTAAAAAATTGGTTTACCAAGAATCTGTATGCTGTAGAAAAAATGTTTTAAATAAAAAATGTAGCTCAGAAAATTTTGAACACAAATGTTATTAGCACAAATTAGCACTTTTTGTGTATAATGAATCATTCGTTGAGAAACAGCGCTTGAAGCGACCAGCGATTTTGAATGTCAGTAAAGCGCAAGAAATAAATTTTAAATAAAATTTGTATCAACTCAATGGTAAAAATTCGATATCTTTTGATCAGAGTGTCCTATCAACAAAAATTTAAATGCTTTTTAAAGGTAAATAGTGCAGTGTTTGTATGTAATTTTTGTGTTTTGCCGAAAATAAAATGAACTATAAATTTGTTCAATAAATAAATATTGCTCGATTTTGGCAGTTTTATCAATTTCATTGACCGGCCATACTGGAATTTTCATTCTTAGAGTGTAATCTTTAAAACCTATAACATAAAATTTTGATTTTGAGTTCTGACAACAAATAGAAGGCATTTGAAATATGCCTAAAAACGCAGATTTTAGTTTTAAAACTTTCACATTGCAAATGATCGCATGTCACAGGAAATGCCTCAACCAAGACGGTTTTGGGACAAATTTATAGTTGAAGTTATCTAGTTTCGAAAAACGGAAATGTGTAATGAAAAAGAAGTAGTTTTAGATCGTTGGTAACGTGAAAGTTTAAATTCGGCGTTTGTTAGGCACATTACAAATGCGTCACATTTGTTGCCAAAAGCACTCTTATAAAAATTAACTTTACTTGAAATAAAATACAAACATTTCATAGGAAAGCTGCACTCTTCACTTTTAAAACGCATTTTGATTTTTGTAGATAGGGCCTATTTGAAAAGGTGTTGAATTTTTACTGTTCAGTTAACACATATAGTATTGTAACAATAAAACACTGAAAACTTTGTTTTCAAACTTCCACAAAATTTATTTTAAATATTATCACTACAGCTGTTTCAGCTGATTGCCTTTCTCAAGTGATCTATTTTGGCTTGGGTTTACAAATTTATAGTCTCTAATGAAATCGGTTGAGGAGGGGAGAACTGTTTGTCTCAAGTTGGTCATTCAGAATTATATCTGTGTTTTTTAATTTGTTGATTTCCATAGATTCTAACAAAGATAGTTTAAGGCCTTTATTTTGAATGTGAAGAATTTTAAATTTGTCATTAAAAGAATGATTATGATCTAGAAGGTGAAGTGCGTATGTCGAATCTGTTTTTCTATTCTTGAAAGCCCTTTTATGTTCTGCTATTCGTTTATCAAAGTTTCTACCAGTTTGACCGATGTAAGTTTTTGGACAGTCGCCACATTGGAGTTTGTATACACCACTATTTAAGTGTTTGTTATTTTGGCTCTTGTTATTTTTAATATATTTGCCTAGGTTGTTATTTGTTCGGAAAGCTGGTGTTATTCCTTTCTTTTTTATGTGTTTGGCAATTTTTGTTGTTATTTTGCCTGTATATGTAATCGAGCAGAAGGTACTGGGTTTTTTCTCTGGTGGTGGAAATACTAATTTCAGGGCTTTCTTGTGTAGTTTTTGATTTAACATTTTATTAATTGTTTGTTCGTTGTATCCATTGTTTACTGCTATTTGTTTAATTATATTTAATTCTGTCTCAAAGTTGTCTTTTGACATCGGAATTTCTGTTAATCTATGTAACATACTATGATAAGCTGCCAGTTTATGTTGTGTTGGATGGGATGACGAATTGTGTATAGTTGTGTCAGTATGGGTAGGTTTATGAAATATGGAGAAGTCATGTTTGTTTTGAAGTCTGCTAATTTTTAAATCTAAAAAATTTATGAATTGATTTTGTTCTGTTTCTATTGTAAATTGAATATGACTATGAACTGAATTAATATATGATAAAAATTGGTCGAGTTGCCTGTTAGTTCCTGTGAAACATACCAGTACGTCGTCTACGTATCTCCACCAATATAAAAACTGTTTGAATACGGGATGTTTTGAAATCTTTGTCTCTAGATGATCCATAAAAATATCTGATAACAATGGGCTTAGAGGATTACCCATTATAAGTCCTGCACTGTTATTTGTATATATTTTATTATTAAATTCAAAGTAGTCCTGGTTTATGCAAACTTCAAGAAGATGTAAAATTTCAGATGTAATTATTGGATTTGTACTATTTTGGTCTAAAAGGTTTTTTACTAGAATAAAAGTTTCTGTAGGGGGGATACTAGGAAAAAGATTTTTTACGTCAAATGAAATTAATCTGGAATTGTTAGGTAATTGAAAATGTTGTATTTTATTAACTAGTTCTATTGTATTTTTTATGGTAAATTTAGGTGAAAATTTAGTGTGGTCTAAAATAATCTCTAACAGTTTTTTTGAAATTTTATATGAGGGAGCTGTATAAAAAGAAACTACAGGTCTTATTGGGTGATCCGGTTTGTGTAGTTTAATGAAAGAATATAATTTAGGAGGCTGTGGGTTCATAATATTGAGGTATTTCTGTTCTATTGGATTTAGTATTGATTTTGAATTTTCTAACGCTAGCTTAATTTGTTTTTGATATTTTTCTGTCGGGTCTTTGTGTAAAGTTTCAATATTTTGATTATTTAAGAATTCTATTGTTTTGTTATTATATTCTATTTTATCTATAGCAATAGTAGTGTTACCTTTGTCTGCTTTTGTAAACACGATGTTGCTTTCTATTGATTTATTTTTAATTGAAATTGCTGTTTTATTCTCTTTGTAACAGGAATTCTTAGTTTCACTACACACATCTCTAATAGATTTAGCAATTATACTTTTTTCGATATTGTTAGCAGTTTTGTTTAACGCTACTTCACATTCTACACCTAAATATTCTAAAGTTCTCTCATTATTATGTTGGGGCAAGTTGTGTTTAAATCCTTTCTCTAAAAGTTGTATCTCGCTGTTACTAAATTTAGTATCTGTTAAATTTATAAATCTATTGAAAAAAGTATGGTTCGAAAAACTTTTTGTATAATGAATATTGGGTTTTTTACTATTGGAAATTAGATTATTTAGTTTTTTACACTGTGTATTGAATTTTTTATCTATTATATTATCTATATTAATTCTCACGTTAGAATCTAGGATGTCAAATTCTATATTATTTAATCTATAATTTAATTCTGAATGACATACCTTAAGATAAACAGATATTATATCCCGTTTGTTGTATTGGTATTTTCTGTCTTGTTTAAGCCATCTGGTCTGACCGTGATGAATCCCTTTTTGTGCAGCGGGGCTGTGGTTTTTGGTTTTTAACTGAATATACTTCGGGAACACTTTATTTTGTAAACACATATTTAAAAACCAGATGTTTT